TGAGATCAGAGGGAACAGTGTTTTAGACATGGGGAACAGCAAGCACTCTGATGGGTAAAGAAGCACAGTATCTTACAAGGTGAAGAACATAGTTCTACTGTAGCCCTTACAATGCTGTAGTAGAACTACTGGTTTACTTACCAATTTTGCACCTAAACTATAAGTCCTCTGAGCATAGGAGTATATACCTTCTTTCAGAATACCATCATTCATACAATACATATTTATTAAGTGCAACTACATGCCTAGCACTCTCTTAAATACTAGGTTTACAATGAAGAACTAAATCAGGACAGCCTTTGCCTTCAGGGAGCTTAAAACAAATAACATTGGGCAAAAATTAAGTGCTCAGAAAAGATCTACTAAATGAACAATATTTGCTTGATTTGTAGTTGTACAGTTCTATGTCATGCCAAGTTCTGGGCTTTCTACACCCCATCCTTTCTTTCTCATTTTTCTAAAAGATCACCATCAGCCCTCAACTTCTGTTATGTACCTGCCTCTCTCTTCTCCACACCAAATTAAGAAGGTCACCAACAATCTCCCCATGATCTCTCTCCCCTCGGCCTTTGTACGGAGCCCACTCCACCTGGAATGCCCTCACCACCTCCAGCTTCTTCACCAGACTAACTCTGGTGTTATTTTCCAAAATTTCATTAGTGTATTGATTTTACCATTTGCTCAAATGTGTACAAATCTCTCAACTTCTTCAGGCAAAATGTTTCCATCAAGTAACAGAACATGATGTATCAGGTGCTATTCCAAACTGAGGTAGAGAGAGCTGAAGGACAAATGATCTGCTATTTATGTAATTTTTTTCCCTCCCAAAAATGTGCAATATTTCAATGACTTTCTGGGCAGAATGGGGCTGGGATACAAATTCTCACTCCTATGGGTCCATGCATTCTATTACTCAGCTATAAGAGAAATGTTTTATTTACAGAAAACAAAACCAATTTGGGACACGAGCTATCACTGAAAGGTCTTTCCCACACAGAGGGTCAATAGTTTAGCACCTAATTTATTTTAGATGGATTTCCTTTTCTAACAGCAGAAATTGCAGTTGTACTTCATTTAAAAAAAAATTATTATTCTAGGCAAGAAGGCAGATATAGGTTACGTCACAACTTCCAAAGCAGCCTCCACAGCTTCATTTAGCTGATAAGAACTTGCACATGACCTTTGGTCCTTTGCTTCTGAAAGCCAGGTATCCATCTTTCTCACCCACTTCCAGAAAAGCAGAAAATGAAGGTGGAGCCATCCATTTTGAACTGCAGGGGCACGGGTTTAAGCAGTTTTCTTCAACAATATACATTCCTCACTGAGCTCCTGGATAGAAGCTCTGGGCTTTGTAGAGAACCACAGAATAATGCTAAAGCCAGGAGCCTGGGAAGCAGCGTTTCCAACAATGTCTGTGCTTCTCTTACAACAGAAGAGCTCAGGGAACTTCACCCACAGCCATTATGAGAAGGGAAATGTACTAAAAGACAATAATACCAAGCTTAGAATTACTATCAAAGTTTTAAACTCAGTGCCCTCAGCCAAGATTTCCCGTAAGACCGACAGAATGGACTCATTTCTGTCCCCACCCTGCTCATGCTGTGTCTTGCTGTAACATGCTGCCGTGCACCACAGCTAACTGTTCTCCCAGCTATTTGGACATGGCAACAGGGCCCATGGGTCTGTGAAAAAGGCACCTAACAATGGTTGTCTTTCCTGGAGTGCTGAGTTCATTGAAAAACATTCCCTCTAAAGTTTCAAGGCCAGCCTCTATCGATAATAGGGAGTATACAGTGCAGTAATTAAATACCTGGTTTTCAGCAGCCAGAACTGGGATTCAGACCGTTGTTTTGTACTAGCTGAGTAACTTGGGGCAAGTCACCTAACCACCTTTAAGCTCTTTAAAACTCCTATCAGACCTCTTATCAGATTACTACTTGTACTACCTCCTTCCCCCACTTTAACAGAGCTCATTCCCACCTCAGGGCCTTTGCACCAGCTGTCCTCTCTGCCTAATACACTCTTCCCCAAAGTTTCACCTGGCTGGCTACTTTTCATTACTCAGATATGAGTTCAAATGTCAAAAAGTCACCTCCAGGATCCCATAAACATAATATTGAGTATGTAAGTGCATATTGTGTAATTCCATTTACATAAAGAACAAAAAGGAACAAAACCAACATATGGTGGTATAAGGGGACTAGTTACCCTTTTTAGGGGTGGAGGTAGTGACAGGAAGGAGCACCAGGGGACCCTCTAGGTTGCTGCTAAATGATTAGTTTCTTGATCTGGATCTGGTTACCTGGGCATGTTCAGTCTGCAAGCTCATCAAGGTGTTCACTTACATTAACTACACTGTTAGTACATGTGTTATATTGTAATAGGAAAACTAAGCCAAAACGAAACAACCAACTTGTCAAATTGGTTTTCCTTGATCATCCAATCTATACCCAGCCTCTTGACAACTGTTTCATTTCCTCACAGCATTTGTCACTAGCTGAGATCATCTTCATTATTGTTTATGTATATACAATCTAGGCCTTCCCCACCCCCATTAAGATATTGTGACCAAGGACTCTACCTGCCTTAATCACTACTCTGAAATAACAGTGCCCAGAACAATACTGAATTTTAAATTTATGTAAAATAAAAAAGGGATAAAGGGGGCCCTTTAAGAATATACCATCAATTCAAAGTCAAAACAGCGAAGCCAAAAGTAGAGCAAGTAAAATATTTCAATGACATTAAGGGTTAGGAATATGTGCCAATGTTAAATTTAACAATGGATAGGGAGTAGATAAGGTGTCATCCTATGAGTACCTTGGTGAGAATGGTTCAAGTTACTTCTCAAAGCAGAAACTGGGTCTTTTATATCTGTACACCCAACAGTTTTGCAAAAGGCCTGGTATAAAATAGGTCTGAGCCAAAAGCGGCAACAGATTTCTGAGATACTCAGTGAGGATCTTAAGTTTTGTTGAAAAAGTGGGTCATGTACAACTACTGTGTGCCATGGGCAAGGGAGTAGGAAGGCACAGCAAAGTGAATTAGATGGACCACAGGCTAAGAAGCATCCCAGAACTTCAGAAGAATTCTTTACAATTCCCAAGCAATACTCACCTATTTGTATTGCCAATTGTAAGATGTTTATAAAGAAAAAAATCACAATGGGTCAGTGGTGCTAGCTGGATGTTATATAGTTACAACTGGTATGCAGGCTTACATTCTGAGGTATTTTCACGAAGAGCTCTACACTCATCAAGCAACAGCCTAGTGTAATGCAGATTTAAACATAAACCTTTATTCTATAATCAGCTCTGTCACAAACTCTCTTTACAACCTTGAACAAGTCTTTAAACTTCTTTAGGGCTCACTTTTTCTACATGAAAAGAGTTGGACCTGGACACTATGCACTATTTCCAAATTAAAAAAAACTATTTTCATCATTTAAGCCTGGCATTTATAGGAAACCACATCATCTACAAGTATGTAAACCAAGCTACCAAATGGAGTGAGGATCCTTCTACCCAGCCAAACCAAGGGTATCTATCCTGAACCAGATTTTCTAGAGTGTCATATTCAGGCTTTCAATTCTTGGTTAGGTAAGAAGCCCTGTCCTACTTTAGTTAAACACTTGGATTTCCCTGCACAACAATTATTTCCTCTGCTTGAGTTTTCACTGCCCTGGGCCCCGTGTTTCTCATCAATTCAAGTCTACACACAGCACCACAATTCTTGTTTTTTCTAACACTTAAATAATGAATAGGACTTCATCACCTGGAGGTATTCTCTTTACTCTATTACAAGAGTTATTAGTGATTTTAACTAGGCAAATCCACCATTCCTTTTGCTATCCCACCATGCTGTCAAGTGTCTATTGAGGATATTACAGTAATAAGTATTAACACCTTTTAAATTTACATTTACAAAAACAGAGAAATGAGAAGTCAGGAAATGAAAGCAGGGGAGAATTTTTTAAAAACTTGCAGATGTCATAATTAACCAAAACTTAGAGTAACTCAAAAAATTAGTAGCTATCTTTTAAATTTCCTTTTAAACTATACTATGCATATCCTGATTAAAATTGCATTAGTGATAATTTGCCTCTCATCAATTAAAAATGGGAAAATGGACATGGGCAATGCTCTGCTGTGACTGTGCCCCCACACCATCCTTTCTTTAAAAGGGAGAGAGATTATCTTTGGAGAGCAAGTCGAGGGGCTGAGTAAGTTCTCCAAGGGTCATCACCAATTCACAACTCCCCAAAAGCCTTCTGCCTACTGCACTCTTGCCAACTGCAGAAGGTAAAATCCCAATAGTTATTCAGCATTCACCACTGGCCCACAGGATTTTATTCTCTCTAAACAAGGAAAAAAGTGGACAGAGCCAATGCTCTGATGATGTGTTTTAGTGACTAATTTCTCACTGAAAGAAGGGAGAGAGGGTTTTGCACTTTTCTCCATGGCCCAAGCATTTCACCAACTCAGGCGTCCCTGGAGTGTTCAAAATCAGGCAACCTGCACAAAGTTCACTCCGGGAGGCGGGTCACTAACACCAGCGAGGCTGGGATGGCTTCCTAGGCATGCTCACCATACGGCCTAACAAATGCGCTCAGGGACAGCGACGTTTCAGAAGCACAACTTAAAAACCTCAGGCTTCCAAAACCCGGTCGGAGGAACTTTTCCCAAACTTGCAGGCAGCGCCGAGCACGGTGCCAGGCGCCTTCTGCGAGAGGGAACCGGCGGCAGCGACTCCTGAGAGCCGGGGGGCTCACACGCCGGGGCGGCCCGGGCTGCCGTCCGCCCTTGGTCCGGCCCCACACCCAAGAGGGGGCGCGGGGCTCCCTCGTGCGCCGCGGGCGCAGCTCCGCGCGTCGCCTCCACAGGTGTGGCTCCGGAGCGGCCGCGCACCCGGGCCGGGAGGGGGCCCGGAGGACGAGGGGGCCAGGAGGGCGGGGACAGGCGGCCCCCGCCAGCGCCCTTCCTGCCCCGGGGCCCGCTCACCTGGGACCTGGAGGCCAGGAGCGGGGGCCGGAGCGCCAGCTCTCTCAGAAGTTGCCCGGCCCGCGCCGCCACAGGGGACGCCATCTTAAACAGGAAACCGGGCGCCGGGGAGCGGCCTGAGCGCCGGCGGGGGCGGAGGGAGGCGGGGGCGGGGCGGGGCCCGGCCGAGGGGGACGCTGGCCGCGCCCCCGGGTCCGCGACCCGCGGCCGCCGCGCGCGCGCGCGCGCGCGC